ATAACCATATGTACTGTTTTTTATGTAACTTTTTACTGTTTGATACAAAAATATATGCCATTATGTTATAATTGGCTGTGCTGTGCAGTAACAGGATGTACAGGTGAGTAGCCTAGGAATAATAGGCTATTCCAGATAACTTACCTGTGTAGTAGTCTGTACCATCTAGGTTTGTTTATAATGTTTGCACAATGATGAATAAGCTAACAAGACGTTTCTCAGAAGTATCTGTGCCAGTAAGTGACACATCATTGCAATAAAAAATATCTAGACACTCAAGGAGACAATATAATGCTCATGAAAAGCAGAAGCAATAGATAAAACAATAAACAATATAGTACATACATTGGGAACCCAAATGTTGGTATAAATAAGAACTTGAAAATCACTATATTTTTTATGAAGATAATAAAAAAACTAATATTAGCAATTACAACATAATTGACATGTCTCTACATATCCAGTTGAAATACTAAAATAAGAAAAATATAATTAAAATTAAGAATGTAATGAAATGACAGCAAAGTGGTAGAACACAGATTAGAAAAGGCTGAAGAGAGGTTCAATAAACTGAAAGCACATTAGATATAAAATATTGAAAATAAAAGAAAGAAAAAAGGATGGAAAATGCAAATGCTCTGTAAGATGTGCAGAGACACAATAAGAAGATATAAATTCTATATGACTGGAATTCCAGAAGCAGAGGAGAAAGAAAATGGAACTGAAGGAATATTTGATGATATTATGACTTAGATCATTCCAAAACAAATAAAAGTCATTAGAATAGGGGCTAGGATTCATAGTATATGACCCAACCAGAATTTTAAAAATGTATAAATTAATAGAAGAATAAAGGAATAGTAAGAGGAAAGTAAGGAAAAAATTAATGAAGACTTCTGGAAAATGGAGGAGAAGATAAATTCAGCTAGAGAAAGACAGAGATTACTTTCAAAAGAACAATGAAAAGACTGACAGTTTGCAGCAGAAATAAGGAAAACCAGAAAAAAATGGAATAAAGTATTTAAAGTGTTAAAAGAAAATAGCTGCTAATCTATAAAATCTCTGTTTATATTTGGCAAACATGTTATTTGAGAGTGAAAGTAAAACAAAGTGAATCTCAGCAAACAAAACAAAAAATTTATAACTCTAAGATCTGGACTGAAGTACAAATTAAAAAGTGTTCTTCAAATAAATGAATAACAATTCTAAATGAAAACTCAGAGATAGAAGAAGGAATAAGGACCAATATACAATATAAATATGCGGATAAATCTAGAGCAATTATCTCAACTTAAGGGCAAGATAGAATTACTCAAAGGTCTGGTCTGGACAGAAAATGTTTTTAGTTCCTATTTCTTTGTAAGGATTTCTGATTCAATAAGTCAACCATGAGAATTTGCATTTCTAACAAGTTAACAAGTGTTATTGGTACTGATGGCTTGTGGCCCATGCTTAGAGAACCACTGAAGATCATAGGACATATAAAATGATATAGAGTTTAAAATTTATATTGAATTAAAATCCATGTATCTATGATGAATTATTTTATGAAAATGATTGCCCATCTTTCCAGTTGAAAAACAAAAGGTGGGTCTTTTTAATAATTAGCCTCCATAAATATGCTAAGTGAATTCTATATTCATAGAGAAAATAAACTTGATGCATTTCTCATATTGTGCAGAAAAGACAGTTCTAGATTTTCTGCAATTCTATATGTAAAAGGAAAAACTATAAGTCTTCTCAAAGGTGTACTAAAGGATATCAGAGTAACTAGAGATTTTAAAACAGGAATCCCCCCAAAGCACCATTCATAGAGGAAAATTTGAACTTCATTAAAATTTACAATTCTGTTAAAAAAAAGACACAGTAAAGAGAGTGAAAAGGCGAGAGAAAAGATTGGGAAAGTTATTTGCAACATATGCCAATGACAAAGATAGATGCAGAATCTATAAAAAACATACACACAACAAAAAATACTTCCTACAAGACAATAGCAAAACAATAACCCCCTTTAAGTATGAGTAAAAGCTTTGAAATGACACTTCCCACAAAAGGTATACAAATGCCTCTCCAAATCACAAAAACTTGTTCAACCTCATACTAATCGTGGAAACAGATAGATACTAAAAACATAATGCAATATCCTTGATTGAAATCAGATGGATAAGTTTAAAAAATATTTATAGTTGTAGATGGACACAATATCTTTATTTTATTTATTTATTTTTATGTGGTGCTGAGGATCGAACCCAGTGCCTCACACATGCTAGGCACGCACTCTTACCACTGAGCCACAACCCCAGCCCTAAATTTTTAAATTATAGATAGTAATGCAAAATAATGACAATGTGGTACAGTGAAAACTCAGAATCTGCTGTGGGGGTGAGAGAGTGAAATAGTACAGCCATTTGGAAAATAGCTTAGCATTGTTTACTAAATTTAAAGATGCTTATGCCATATGATCCAGCAATTTTTATTCCTAAGTAAGTCTTTGTGCACTGAGATGCATATAAGACTGTTCATACATCATGAATGATAACAGCTCAAATTTATAAATCTCAAATCTTCATCTGAGGAAAAATATACTCTAGTATGTGCATAAATTGCATAGCATGCATCATCACTAAATAAGAATTAACTAACTAAAAGTAGCAACATGGATTAATCTCACGTATTATTGAAGGAAAAAGGCCGATCAAAAAATTACATACAGTTATTGACTTATGTACAAAAATGGGAAAAACTACACTGGTTACTTAGCTTATAAAATTTAAATAAAAACAAGAATTAATTTCAAAAGGAAGATAATGTGACTTCACTTATTGGAAAGACACGGCCAATAGTTAGGAAGAGATAGCAATGGGGCTTTCTCTTTCTTGCCAAGGTTCTATTCCCTACCCTGGATACATATTTAAACAAGTGTTTACTTTAGAATATGTAATTGAACTGTACACCTTTTCATTGTGCCTCTTTCTATACAATAAATGCATAAAATATTTTAAAACACCAACTACTTACTCTATCCATTTTAAATTCAGCAGACTTTTCTTTCCAGTTGCTTGAAAACACCTGAAGTTCTTGATTTAATTATTTTCCAATAATGCTTTAATTAATCCTTTTGTTTAGTTAATTTATTCTCATATTCTAGTTCTTACATTACTTTGCATTCATTTAGCAAGGTAAATTAATATTTAATGGGAATCAAATTCACTGATGTTCTCTGGATAAATACCTTGTTTAATTCATAGATGACTTTGTGTTTATTTTGGTTCCAGAGCTACTTTCAAAAGTACTAGTAGAGAAAAGATAATAGTATAATATTGGAAAAAGAGACTAATAGTTTGCCAATGTCATAAAAAGTTTTTTTTTATATCTATCTAACTGCTCTATTCTAAAAATCCCATTACAGGACATAGACTATCATATATTTATATATTAAAATAAAGTTATTTGAAACAATTCTATTGTTAGCAAGTTATAATAAACATATTGTTGTGAAATGCAGTTACATCATATCATGGACCAACAAATTTAAATTATCTTGTAAATTCCTCTAAAAAATATAGTCTAATTGTTCCATATCAGAAAACAAATTTAAGCAATAGTTTTTAAATACAGTGAAGGATCTGAGTTTTAATCTTACATACAAGCTGTAGTTTCATGGATGCTTGTAGAATATGTCAAACTCCTGGGTCAGAGATAAAGGACTTTCTCACTCAGGCACTGCAGGCAATAACAGCATCAACGCTTTGTGCACTGGCCTCTCAGCTCCAATTCCACAAGGCTAAGAGAAGAGAATCATGTGATTCACTTGTACACATAATGGTGGTGTTACAGTGGAGTAATTCTAAGTTCAGGGATTCAAATAAACCTGCTTGCCTTTTGCTCAGTAGGAAAACATCCCTCTTCAAGTGCTATAAATAAACTCTCTCTTCATTCTGGATGGAGGTACTATTATCTCTATCTTTCAAGGCTCTTCCAAGGCTATTCATTATGCAGATATCCTTGAAAAGATAATCCGGAAAAAAGGAAACTTAGTAGACCTGCAGAAACAAAATGGAGAATTGTCTCTCATTATTGGTGATAGCTAAAACCTCTTCAAAGAGTTGATATAAGATAGAAATTTTCTTTTTAACATATTGGCCAAAATGATTCTTCAAACTTTTTTGAAATGAGAACCAACCAGATTATTTTATGGTTCATGTTGCATTCAGAATGCTTATGAGGGTCATAATCATATAAAATCCTAGAAGGAGAAAAAAAAAAATATATATATATAATCTTCAAAACCACTTCCAAACCATATTCTCTCTCTCTCTCTCTCTCTCTCTCTCTCTCTCTCTCTCTCTCTATATATATATATATATATATATATATATATATATATATATATATATATCACCACTACATGTGGGGCATTATTATATATATACTTTGAATCCATGCATTCTGTATTTTTGGATTCAACAACCTAAGGACTAAGGAACACAAATATTTGGAGAAAAATTCCACTTGAACTGGACATGTGCAGAAATTTTTCCTTGTCATGATTCCCAGAAAACATTGTCTAAAATCTATTTACATATCTTTACATTGTGTAAGGTATTCTAAGAGACCTAGAGATGATTTAAAGTATATGGGAGATTGAACTTAGATTATGTGCAGATACTAGCCCATTTTATATAAGGGATTTGAGCATTTGTAGATTTTGTTAGCTCAGGGGGTCCTGGAACCAATCTGGGATAGATTCTCAGAGACACCTATATATATATATAGTGTGTGTGTGTGTGTGTGTGTGTGTACACACACACAAGACATGCATTTATATATAATGTACACACATATCTATATGGTTTATTTTTCACCACTACTTAAAACATAAATTCTGCTGGGCATGGTGGCACATGCCTGTAATCCCAGTGACTGTGAAGGCTGAGGCAGGAGGATCACAAGTTGGAGAACAGCCTCAGCAATTTATCAAGGTTTCAAGCAACATAGTGTCTAAAATTAAAATAAATAAATAAATAAAATAAAAAGGACTGGGGATGTGATTCAGTAGTAAAATGTCCCTGGATTCAGTCCCTGGTTCAAAAACAAAACAAAACTCAACCAATTGCAAATTCCTTATGAGTAATGAGCATGTTAGTATATGTGTGTAATTTATTCCCTTATTCTGATCCCTACATCACTTTGCATGAGTTTAATTAATGAAATTGTATGTCTGCCATACAAGTTTTTTTTTCTCTATAGCATCTTCAGGAAAATAGCAAGAAAACAAGTATGTCTGTAAGTTGAAGGTTCTAATAGTTGACAAATAACCCACATGTAGAGGTGCTAATTAAATATTTTTGCATGGAGCTAACTTAAACTCATGATCCCATCCTACTATTTGCAAAGCCAGAGTTAGGCTTAGTGGCAGTATATATACTGTACTTTGAAAATAAAAAAAAAATTCTTTTTCTCAAACTCATTTACAGCCACCTTACACACAAAGACTCTTCATTTAGGGTGATTCTGATATACAGATGCATAAAACTGAGGGAAAGATTATGGCTCTAGAAATATTCGCCTTTATGAGATCAGAAATGAGTTAAATGCCTGTGTTTTCCTTCGTTGACAATTGTGTTATTATTTTTTTTTCTGGTCTCGGTTCTCATTTTTATCTTCTTCAATAGGAATTTAGCAGAGAAGAGTTTATGGTTGAAAAACTTTATGTAAGTTCTCCAGAGACTTAATCATCAACACAATGAGTTGAAACCTCTCTGATCTTCTTTACTAAATCAAACGTCTCTGTTTACAACGAATGCAGAAAGTACAAAATGTTTCTGTACTCCTTCCTCATCAAAATTACCTCCTAGAGGAACTAGAAAATGTGTGTCAATGTGGATTACCATCTACAGGAGCTACTCGCCCTGACACTCTGGGGTCTTGCACACAAAGGATGAAAGAGGGGCGTGGGGAGACTGGAAGGCGTCCTTACCTCGCCTCGCCAGGCAAAACCCGCCCCAGCAGTCTGCTGGGGAGTGGGGACCTGGAGCAAGATAAACTTGGGGCTTGGGATATTTGAATGCCACAAAAATTGCCATCCTTCCCAAAGAGGCAGGGAGAGAAGAGCTGAGTGCGTGCGCGAGCTGAGTGCTTACGTCGCAGCCCAGCTCTGTGCTGGGATAATTAGAGAGGAGTTGAGCTGAGCTGAGTCCTCTTTTAGCAGCAGCAGCCGGAGCCGCAGCAGCCACCCGGAGGGGTGCACCGGACTCCGGTCACTCCCAGCGCGCAGGGAGAGGCGGCGCCTGCGTGGCCTTTTCCATCCAGGCGTTCGGGTCCCCTCCCTCCCTTCTCTCCCGAAGGCGAAAATGGCAGGGCCGGGCGGGGACCTGGGACAGCGGTGGCCCTAGCTCTGCCGTCCCCACCCCTCCTGCTGAGAGGCAGCGCGTTGCCCTCAGATGATGCAGCCCCAGCTACTCCCGAGTGAGTCTTCGGCCCGGGTCCCCGCTCTCGCCCCTCTTGTCTGTTCGTTCCATACCGCGGAGAGGAGTTGATGCTGCTGTCGCCCCCGCTGCCGCCACCGCCGCCGAAGCCTGGGCTGATGGATGCCAGGGAGTGCCGCATTGCTTAGCGTCCCCGCCTCCGGGTTTGCTGGTAGGAGCCAGCTGCTCTTTCTTCTTTCTTGCTTTGGGGTTTATAGAAAAGATAGAGACATTTTTATTTCATTCTCCACAACTCCCTTCACCACCCCCCTGTTTTTGACATGCACCTTCCCAGAGAGATACCTTCCCTCCCCACCCCATCCCCATGGCAAGTCCTTTAAAATAAAGGCAGAGAGGAGGGCAGAAGTTGGGGGTGGGGTGGGGTGGGGGGAGCCCACGCTGGTGCCAACGCCACCAAAATCTCTCCTGGTGCCTCATGAGATCGCGGTGTATACCTAAGAGGGGCAGAAGGAAGGTGCACTATCTGCAGTGTTCCCTAATTGGATCATCATGATAATAAAAAAATAAAATCCCACAAAGATGTCTTTTTAAAAATAGCATCTTTGAATAAGCAGAGGGGGAAATAAGCTCCTCTCCCCCACCCTCTTTCTCTCTTTTTCTTTCTGGCAAAGACACTCTCTCCCCGCCCTGGATCTCAGCGCTGAAGAACCACCTTATTATTAATCAGAATTCCCATCGTTATCCCTGGCAGGCGCATCCTTCAGTAGGAACTGCAGAAACATCACTGTGCCGGGGCTGAGATGTGCGTGGGGGTTGTTTTTATTACATCTTGGAAGAGGAGAGAAGAGGACCGCACCATGATCAGAACCCCTCGTGCTAGGTGGGATTAGGGGTGTTTCATTCAGAGAGAAAGGACCAGAAGGATCAGGGAGCAGGGCCCTCCAGAGGTCCATGTTTCTTTAAAGAAGAGGGAACTAAACAGGGCGTTGTTTTTAGGTGTTTGGGGGAAAGTTTATATCCTCCACAGTAAAGCTGTTGGAAAGCAAGTGCAACAGGGTACTTGATTAATCACAAAGATCAATTCTTTCCTGTAAAGGAGAAGCAGGCAGCAGGGAGGTCTGGGGCCAGAGTGTGGAAGTGGCAAAGGCCAGGTTTGTTGTGGGACAGTCAACAAGAGCTTCAGAGCAAAGGCTCTGGAACAACAGAACAATGACTCATTTACAAGCTGGTCTTTCCCCTGAGACCCTGGAGAAAGCTCGCCTGGAACTGAATGAGAACCCAGACACGCTGCACCAGGACATCCAGGAGGTGAGGGATATGGTCATCACTAGACCGGACATTGGCTTCCTGCGCACTGACGATGCTTTCATCTTACGCTTCTTGCGGGCGAGGAAGTTTCATCACTTTGAGGCCTTCCGCCTCTTGGCCCAATACTTTGAGTATCGTCAGCAGAACCTGGACATGTTCAAAAGCTTCAAGGCCACTGACCCTGGCATCAAGCAGGCGCTGAAAGATGGTTTCCCTGGGGGCTTGGCCAATCTGGACCACTATGGCAGGAAGATTCTAGTCCTTTTTGCTGCCAACTGGGATCAGAGCAGGTAAATCTTAAATCCAAACTTGCGCATGAGCCTGTTTCCCTCCCATTTTCCAGAATTTATCCTGAAGAGTGGTGTCATATTTTTGCAGGTTTGATGTTTTTGTTTATTGGGCTAGGAGAAAAGAGAAACTGGGACTAAGAAATGAGTTTTTGGTGTGCACCCTGGGAAGAGAGAAGGCCTTTTATTTTTACTTTTAAAACTCTTAGTTCACTAACACCCGTTTTCCTATTGCAGCTTTAAGTGTTTCCTGAACCATCTTATTACACAGAAATCTAAATCACTAAACTTCTAAATAAAGCAGACAAAATTTTCACCTCCTGAATAAATTTACTGGTCTGGGAAAATGAGTAATTATAGCAAACAACTTTTCCTCCTTCCTCATAAAGGAATTCTTAAACTTAAGACAATCAACATCATAACTGTCATCAATACCCTCTCTCTTTAATATTCTTTATTTCTTATTTTCTAAGAATAGCCCGGTGCTCAAGCAAGAGCGGGTAGTTTTATTGCTTAGGAACTTTTCTGCTTGGTGATGTGTAGATAAAGGTGTAATATGATGTGTGTCACTTCAGTGAAAAGGAAGAGTTGCACCCTCTGTCGCTGAGCATGCCTAGCGACACTGAAAATAAAGGCTGACTGGTGTGCTTGTTCTACACCTGTCACTAATCTGAAGAATATGTTTCTTGTCTGATGTAATTTTTCATCTTTTAGAAAGAAGTGGAAAATGTTGGGATGTATCAGTTGGTAGGCTTCTTGAGCTCATTGGCTGTTTAGTAGAGGAGAAATAATATTTGCATTTCATCTACACTATTATGGGGAAAAAGCAACGGCACTTTTACTTCTTCAATCAGGTTTCATTTCCCAGGCTGTAAGATAGAAGAAATTATAAAAGCTTCTTGGATAAGGTAGTTTCAATTAACTTCAAAGTTAAATAAGTGTATTTCATGGAACTTGGAAATGTTCCCAAGCTAAATATCATAAGAAGATGGCTATTAAAACGTTGGTGTATTTTAGTTTTGTGAATAATGAGTTTGGGTACATCTGGTTGATTTAAACTACATCTGGAGCAACAGTAATGTGTTTTACAATTAGTGAGAGATTTTATAGAACTTATGGATTTCTGGTAGGCTTCTGAATTTCTTGGGATATTAGAACATAATAAATAAAACTGATTTTTAACAGTTTTCCCATTTGATTGGTTACTTTCCCCTATAATTCCAAGTTGAGAGGTACTCTTATTTTTTAAAGTGAATATGGAGACAAAATACTACCTGAAGAATCATAAATTTAAGAAACTTGTAGATAAAATTAGACATTGAAGGGCATGGAGCTTTCTTTACTTTGGCTAGACCTTACTATACCTTTTATCATGTGGAAAACATCAAAGGACTATGAAATTCTATCCAACAACTATAAGTTTTCTTTAGAAAGTGTTTTTTTCTTCATCTAAATACATTATGAAGTCATGCAAATGATGATTGCATAGCAAAACTGAAAACTTTGAGAAAGAACCTAATATTCCATATTACAGTTTATTTAGAACTTTATTAAGCTTTAGTGATATGATGGCTATGGAAATTTTATATTTAAATACATCTTAAAGTCTGTTACAAATATCCCTAGAGAGGCAGATTTTATTCAAAGACACATATACATACATCAGAACTATTTCATCTATTTTATAAGTTAACTAACATTCATAATGATTTATTAGGATAATTAAGATGAAAGTCACTTATAGTTCTCTTCTATATGAAAAGAAGATTATTCTGGATATATTTAAAGAACTGTTTCAGTTGTCTATCTCTTGCATTTCTATAAAGGACACGTTCTAACTAAACAAACCTTTTCTCTTTGGAAATCTACAATAGGAGGGATATTGATAGACACGTAGAACATTTTTATTAAATTTCCGTAAAATTATAAATATGAAAATACTATGAATTTAAAATTAAAATGTGAGAAGTTATGTCCTATAGAAACACCCTGTCAGGACCTATAGACTAATAGTTGTGAATTCTGTTACTGTGATTGGAAAGGAACAGGAATAAACAAGAAGTTGTAGTATACCAAGAAACTGTAGTACATCTAAATCACATGCAAGTGATTTAGAGCTTGCCTAAATTTCAGTTGTTTCTACCTTCTGTTTTGTTTGTTTGTTTGTTTTTAACAAATCCCTCCCTCTTCCTACTTGTTCCCCATACCAAGCCCACTTATACCAAATGACAAGGATTCCTGGATGGGCAGTTCTGCCATTTTGGCAGCCTCTGTAAATCTTTATCTTTAGAGTATGTGCACAAGAACTGTGTTGATCTCTGCCCTGAAATTGGAGGAACAACTGCATCTCTGGTAGTGTCAGAGTCCTACGATCCCTTCTCAGTATGAATCCTCTTTTTCCACCCTTTCTCAAGGCTTCTCTAACTTGCCTCCTACAGAAGCTGCGGCTACCTTTCTACATGCTTACTTAACCATGGCTGTTAGGTCAGGTAACAGGTACATCTTACTCTCCCCTGCTGTGTAAGTTAAGTGCTGTGTTCCTTGTCCTCATCTTGCCAATTCAAAACCACCTGCATCTCTCAAGAAAACTGTACAGCTGAACATAATTTTGAGCACATGCATTGAGTTGAATACTTAAAAAATAGTATTATATAGGGATATTTCAGAAATGAAATAGAAGAAAAATTATTATTTAGAAAAAAGGTAATTTCCAAATTCTTAAGTACAAAGAAAAAATAAGATTTCATAAATTTTGAAGAAAATATTTGCAAACCTACCCCAAAGTATTAATTTGTGTAACAAAAGACATTTCTTATATTTATAATGGCACTTGAGCTACAATAGGTGCTCAATAAATATTTGAGGTAAATTAAGAGTTATGCAGTTTTTTAAAACAAATTCTAAGTAAAAATTTCTCTTTTACATGCTTTTTGCTATATTAAATTTGTAGGGCATTTTTTATGTGCCTGAAGACACTGAAACAGTAAATATAAAATAGTGTCTCTTTCTACTATAACATAGTGCAAGATAGTTTTAGATTCTATGAATAATTGGTGCCTTTCCAAAATCTTTGAGATATAAAGTCATAAGAAAGACTAAGGTAAAATAAAAATATTTACAGTATCCCCACCTTCTGACAAATCTAAAAAAAAAAAAAGAAGAAATACTGAAATGTCAAAATGTGTTGTGTTCTGTGGTCTTCTAAAAAGAAATAAAACAGGCTCAGATGATTTGTAACATTCATTGAGCATTCTGTACCTTGGAAGAAATTCATACAATTTTATTTCCTTTCAGGTTGTCTAACATAATATCTGAAAACAAAAGCAAACACAACAAAATGATAATTTGATGGTTACGTTGCATCATTAGAATTCAGGGACTCTCAGGGCATCACATGCTATATTTCCTTCCCAAATGACAATGCCCTACTTAGGGCTCAGCAGATACCTCCAAGTTGTCCACTTGATTTCATCAACAGGGTGTGAAGATAATGGACCATGAAGCTAGAAGATATAGCACCACTTGAAAAAAGGAAGTTTAGAGTGAAAGGAGATGGCAGTCTAGGCCCCAAGGCATAAGAGCAGATAACTGAGAAGTAGAAATCCACTGACACATAATTACTGGGAATATTCATGAGTGAAATTGGGTTACCTGAAACCTACAGATGACATGTAGCCTGAGAGTTGGCCTGTAAATGATAGGTTAGCTGCCAGTAGTATTTTACTTCTATAGACCTCATTAGACTTATAAAATAGTTCTCTATACTTTAGTAGAAGAAACAACCATTTATTTGGGATTTGGTTAATAGTTATTAGAAAATAATTAAATGTAGCTAGAATTAAAGTGATTATTAATATAGTGGCAATTCAGAAAGCACACACCACCTTGCACTATCTTTGGTTTTCATAATGAACATTGATTATCACAGTATTGAAGGGGGAAGGGGCTTAAAACTCGCTGGTCAGACATTGCTGTGATCCTCTAACTCATCCTGGAATTTGCCTAGAAAACATTTTCTTGTATGTTTTTGCCTAGTAATCAGTGTTTCATAAAAAATAAAATATGTAAATGACAGGTGTTTGAGGTTTCAGTTTGAATTATGATCATGCTCTCATACCTTTCAATAATGTGGTCAATGTTCAAAATGATGATTTTGATAATAATGGCTTACCACTTAAAAAATAACCATAGACAGTGCATATTTGCTTTAATGTCAACTACAAAGATTTTATTTTCTCTGGAAGTATGCTAAAATGAATAATATTAAATGAGATTAAAATGAAAAGGAATGGATTAAAAGAGTCAAGGGTAATAAACAAGATAGGTAGAATTACTCACAGTTGGTAGTCTTTAAAACCATTTTAAAAAGAAGAGAATTTATTGTTTGGCTTGATTTTTCAAGATTTCTTGTCTCAGTTTGTTAAAGTATTAAACCATTTCTCAACTATAAAGTCATTGTCACATTTAGTGGCAGGATCAGGAATCCTTATGTTCAAAATCCTTGAGGAATTGTTGCATTGTGTGATGGGTAGATTTCCATTAGGCTAAAGTAGAAGTTTCAGGTGTACATTCCACCAGATCCCAATCTGTGGTAGGGAGGCTCCCGAACAACTTCTCTAGAAATTGCCACTTATTCCAAACTCTTCTCTTAGTACAGACCATGGGAAAATGGGAGAGGTTAAAAAGACAGTTGTCCTGAGAAATGTTAGAGGAATATTGTGAAAAATCTCTGAAAAAAAAAAAAAAGGATAGTCTCTAAAAACTGGGGCAATTAGGGCTGAGGCTGTAGCTCAATGGCAGAGCACTTGCCTAGCATTTGTGAGGCACTGGGTTTGATCCTTAGCACCATATACAAATAAAATAAAGACATTCTATCTATCTACAACTACAAAACAATTTTAAAAAATCGGGGCAACTATGTAGTAATTAGTGAAATAATCCTGAAATAACTGCAAAAACTGGAGGGCCAACCTTCAGTATGGCATTGATTAGGTTTATTCTAA